GGACAGTCGTTGTCGTGCACCTGACACCATGGACGACTACCCTATGTACGGTCTGCTCGTGGGGTTCTCCCTCTGGGGGACCCTTTGGCGTCTCCAGAACCCCGTAGGGTTCTAGAACACTTTTACGTGTAGGGTAGAAACCAAGGGTGGTGTGAGCACCACTCCCTACACCCTGGAACAGGGAGAGACGGTTAATGGGGGCCCAAATATTTGCCATTTGGTTCAAAATTCGTCAAAAATAACACCCCTGGTTAACCACGTGTGGGATTTTGGGCCGACTGTGCCACACCGAGCAGCCCGCCGGTCTGTACCGGTCCTTGGGAGGCTTAATGTCTCCAGGGCAGTCGAGTCGTCAGACACAACCTTTAGCCCTACTCAGCCCGTGTGGGTTTGGTCAACAAAGCTCTACGACCACATACACAGAGTTCCTATCACCTGGACAGAAGAGACTCAATGTAGAAAGAAGAGACCGACAGACTCAGCAAGTACTATGGGGTGAGTACACATCCGTAGGGCGAGGGGATAGGTTGAAGGCTTGGCGAGAATATACCAACTCCAGCTTGGTCAAATTCGTGGTCAACAGCTTTGGTCAACGCCTTGGTCAACGCTTGGTCAACTCGTCGGTCAACACCTTGGTCAACACCAGACAGCTCGCCAGTCAACTCTCCGGTCAAAGTCTCAACGTTGGTCAACCCTTCGGTCGACACTTTAGTCAACCCTTGGTTCGGCTATGGGTGCCGACCCCTTTCTTCCTCGCCAACCTTCCTTCTTTCTTTTTCTCTTCCCCCCGGCTATGTCTTCCTTCTTCTCCTTCGTCGCTCCTTCCTTTTTCCTCAGCTATGGTTTCTCTCTCCTTCGTCTCTCCTCCCTTCTCCTTCGCTTCACCTTCCTCTCTCTTGGCAACCCTGTATCCGAGCTCTGCGGCTATGGCCGCCTTCTCTCTTGGTCCGCACAACAATCTTGTACCGTTCCTCTCTCTCTCTCTCTCTCTCTCTCTCTCTCTCTCTCTCTCTCTCTCTCTCTCTCTCTCTNTCTCTCTCTCTCTCTCTCTCTCTCTCTCTCTCTCTCTCTCTCTCTCTCTCTCTCTCTCTCTCTCTCTCTCTCTCTTCGTCGTTGTCTTCTTTGCACGTACGCGGCACCTTTCTTCGGCGGCGCAGCTATGGCGAACCTTCCTCCTTCGATGGCGCGGCCCGGACAATGATGGCGCGCGGAGTAATGGGAACCAGCTCTGATACCAATGCAATCAGACTCACTCTCTTCTTTGCTTCACACACATGCAAACAGATGGTGATTCACACTTGGCGCAGTGCGCCCACTCAAAGCTCAGAGATATGGAAAACGAGAACACAGTTCAGATGCAAAATCGCTTCAATAGGCTATGGCGCATCAGCGCCTGTACATCCCAACTCTCGTTACTGTGTCCAACACCTCTGTTCGCACAGACTCGAGTGTGGATCACCCTGAATACTCCACGCACACGTACTCAGTCTCACACACACACACACACACACACACACTAACAGCTATCTCTAACCTATGGCGGCTATGGCCGCTCGCTACTACTGCAATGGCTACCCTATCTTCTTCCAGCCCACTTCAACTTCGGGCGCTCTGCAGACCACCTCGCACAAGACGCTGGGGCAGCGCTTCTGCATGGCTTACGCAGCGAATGAATGAATGGCAGCACGCTGCCTCTTGATTTATACTTCTGTAACTCGTTGGTCTGCCCCTTTCCACCGGGCCCTTGGTGCACACAGTCCCTCATGGTACTTGCTGACTGTGCAAAGTGAGACTGGGACTGGGTACCGCTAAGTGAAGTTGGACTCCACCACTTGCACACTTGCCTCTGGTCTGCTGTGTAAAACGTGAGAAGAACTTGAAAGGCCACTTCCGGACCTTCCGGAAGTTTACGGAGTTGGTCTTTCAGGACTGTAGCAGCTACGACCTTGACCTTTCAGGACTGTAGCAGCTACGCCCTTGACCTTTCAGGACTACAATACCTACGACCCCTATGCAGGTGTGACCCCTACTTCGACAGTGTAAGGTTCAAGACTCTACAACTACTCAGATCTACGACAGACAACTTCAACTACGAACACACAGGTCACGGGTTCAAGACTCATAGGGTCGGCTCGATACTGTGCGCAGGTAAGGTAAGGTGAGGTCTGTGGATCGAACCCTGGGATCCGCATCTGTATCTGCAAAAAGGTGAAAACCGTTTCATGGATAGCCAGGATATGAATAACATTGTGGCTAAGTTTCTATGACGATATGTACATCACAATTTGATTATATATATTATTCTCCCTCTCTGCCGAAGGTTTACCAGGCAGCTCTGTTTGACGATATATATTCTTTCTTATATATTTTAGAGGAAAACATGTGAATAGCAAGTACCTTGAGATATTTTCTCCATATCGAAGATATTCTGTCCGTATCTGAGAACAGCAACTCTGGTTGTGACGCTTGTGCAGGGGCAGTGGTATCCGATGATGAACATATACCATCAATGGATGACGCGGATGGAGATTCATCATCTCTAAAAACAGGGGAGCGTGCCGGTGCTCAAGGGGAAGGAACTTCTCTGCGGAACTGCATGGGGTTGGTCGATAGGACCGGTGAGGACAGTGATGATGTCCCAGATATGGCAGACTATGACGAAGAGGACAACTTGGTCGAAACCGACCCGGTAAAGCAGCAATAAGCCGATACATTCTGAATCCATCCACGCATCTTCCTTCCTTCCATCCATCCATCCACCCATCATCCGTCACTGGCAGCTGTGTAGCATTTCTCACTGTTCAGTCTTTCATGTAATATTGCATAGGTTGCTTCAATCTGTGTGTGACATGAAGAGTTTTGGTAAGCACATCTCGGGAGATTCGTGCTTGCTTCGGTGGTGCATGACGGCGGCTGATCTTTCGTCTTTTGCCTTTCTCTGTCTGTCTGTCTGTCCGTCTCTCTCTCTCTCTCTCTCTGCAATCAGACTCGTTTTCAAACACACTTTTCACACGTGTAAACAGTAACGCAGCATACTGGCGACATGCGCCCACTCAAAGCTCAGAGATATGGCTTTCAGATACGAGTTCACTCTCAATTGGCTATGGCGACTTCAGCGCCCAAAC